ATGTTAATATTTATGTTATTATTGGTTACGAAAATACTTAATTATTAAATTTTTAATTTAAATACATTTTTTCAACCAATAATATAAATAGTAACACATGAAGTCATACATTTTAAGTAGGACAAAAGATGTTAGGATAAAACTCTATAGAAGGACAAAGATCACTTGTCCCGAATAATGTTCTATTTCATGTTTCAAACCAATCAAAATACTGATTTTTGTTTTTAAAAAATTTCTTGTATTCATGTGTCAATAACAAGAAATGAGACACAATTTGGGATAAATGATCAGATGGGAAACACTTGTCTAATCATAAACTAACAATCTTTAATGAGATTTGTGTACTTATGACATGTCAGTGAATTTCTCCAAAATATGAAGAAATAGAACCCATTTAAAATGTGTTTATCTAAATGAGCATATATTATAAAAAAATAAAAATAAAATATGAAGGAATAAGTTATCTTATATTAATATTTACTATTGCAAAAAATGACAATGACAAGCAGCCTAGTGCGGACCATATTAGTACTCTCCTCAATTGCAATGATTTTATGGTATGATTTACACATAAATGTTAGTAACACCAGGTTTTCTCTTAGAAGATACTGCTAAATTGATTAACTAATAAATCATTCATATAAACATTTATAAAACACAATTAAATAACAAATACAATACCTCTATATATAAAACAACTTATTTTAAAGGAAAACGATTACAAATTAGTGACTAGTATTAGTATTTCAAGTATAATTTCTCTCTTTGAGGAAACAGTCAACTACAATTTGATTAAATGCTTTATATTCAGTTTAGATTTTTAAGGGGTGCATAGACAAGTGTGATTTCTACAATTAAAGTATAATTTTGTGTTTTTTAAATTATTTTTTGCAACCTTGTTTATGTTAATTTTTAAGGGATAAGATCAATTCTGAAGTACTTTTATTTTGTATCTTTTATAAAAATGAATTTCTTTTTATTATTTTATTAGAATAGCCATGAAACAAATAAAAAAATAGTGTGGAAGTATCTTTCATTATTTTATTTTTGAAAGACGAGAGATCCATTTACTCTTTATCTTAGTCATCAATTCTAGGGAAATTTAGTGGTTTAGATCTATTTACTAATTCAAACCATTCCCTTATAATTGATAGTCAAGATGTAAAATAAATTTAAAATAATTACTATAAGAGCAAGTGGATCGTCTCCCTTTGTGAAACGATGGAAGCTATAAGTTATTAGTTATTCCTATTTGAAAGGGTGAGTGTACCAGAGTAGAGGGGTTGGCTGAAATTCTGTTAGACTGAAGAGCCAAATACTGAAGAACCTGAAAAAATGCAGTTTGTCCAAATTGTGCACAATATTGCCAATAAAATATTGCAAAATCCCATGATCTAGCCTTCCATTCAAGTAACTTCCTATCAATGTCATTTTCATGCTTTGATACATAAGGCCTCAACACTGTCTCATAAATAAATCCTGTTCCCTGCATTACCATCAAAAGTGTATTTCACCTTGAATTCATTAATAAAATGGTAATAAAGTAACATGTATGCTGTATTTTAAATTGTGGTCGTAAGTCGGTAAGTGCGATTGTGGTCATTACGGCCAGCTTTGATACAAATTGCGGCCATTGAGGCATGAAGTTTTTGGTGATTAAAATTTTGAATTTTATGTGGTCCAATATGATATAGTGTGGTTGTATTGAAACCTGATGTAGCGGTTGTGTGACCGCCACAATCGCATCACACTGCAATTGCGGTGTGATTCCGAATCGCAATGATGCAGCCACAACAGGCCACAACGTAACCGCATCAGACCACATTTGGATCGTATGAGGCCGCATTGGATTACAAAATAATTCACACTGCAACGGCCGGGATCCGCATCGCAACGACTGCAATGACCACAATCACAATAACTGTTATCGCAACCGCAATTTAAAACACTAGCCGCAATAATGTGATTTAAGTATTGAAACCTCACCACAACCAGAATAATGTGGTCAGATCAGGTAATGCAGTTAGCAATTTAATACAACGACTACAAGTAAAAAGTGAAAGATGTTTACCTTGGTTTTGGGATACCATAGGTAGATAATGAGCACCAGCTTCATCTCTCCATACATTGGAAGCCTTAATAAAGGTTCAGTGTTAATTTACAACACAAATTTGAATAATCAAAAGGGTAGAAATGATTAAAAAATCCAACACTTACCATGCAATGAATATGTCTGCAAACTTTTCCAGTACAGTGAAAAGTGCCAAAATTATCCTGTATTGTGAAATGCCATATGAAAATTCAATATGTATTTTAATAGGATATATAACCAAATCAATAATTTCACTTGTTCATAATATTTCTTTTGGTTGTAGGTCATATTGTGCTTAGATATATAAATTTGACTGATAAGGTGACAATTGCAATTGCAATATTATTGCTAAAACTACAAAAACTATAGTATTTTGGCTACAAAGTGTAATTTATAATTTAATTATACAAAAACAATTTCTAACCATATTTCCTATTAGACCAACTTATATAGTATTCTTAACCCCATGCGCAAGGAAGACAATACATTTGCTTCAGATGGTGGATGATTTCAAATACCCAACAGCAGTGTTATATTTGCTGCATAACTATTACAAGGTTATCCCTACAATTTCATCATTCCGCAATTGCTGTGAAACATGTCCCTATTTCACAAGAAATTGATTGCAAATAAGGAAATTATCTCATATACCAGTATTTACACCAGAATCGAAGTTCCTCAATATCAACTCTATTTTTCTCCACAACTTTATAGCATTCGAATCCAGGGTATGCATACCCCAGAACGAGTCTGCAATTCAAAATGAACAAAGAAAGTTGATATATATATAAGAATAAAAAATATAAATAAAAAATTCATCAATTAAAGAGGCATAAAAAGAAAGAAAAGTACATACATAAGACACCGATTAATCAAATCCCCCAACATTCTTAATCTGTCTCCCACCAAAACAAACCGCGGAAACTCTCTGAATCGGAAGCAAACAAAATATTAGAATTGTGAATCATAATGAAGGATAAGAATCTGTTGTCTCAAACCATGTCTCAAATTTTATCCCACACCAAAGAAAACATTAAACATTCATTGTTTTTTCATTTTTGCTTTATTGTTATCGGCACGAGACATAATTTGGAACAACAGATCCTTATTCCATAAGGTGGGGCATTATGCATTTGAAAACTGACCCTTCTCTCTAGAAAGAAAGAAGAACACAAGAAATACACGTTGAGCATTACCTGTTGTATTACAAGAATATTGAATTAAACTAACAACTAGATTGAGTCCCACGGTTGAAATATTCAGAGGCACCTAAGAACTGTGGTACCCCAACTTTCCTAAGGTATATTAATTAACAAGTTATGAATTTTATACTTTAGATAATAATAAGGTTGAATCCTCTGAAAGAATTGCCTCTGATTCTCTTTTTCTCCCTTAAATAAAATGTGGAAGAAGAAGCCTTAGATTTGAGGCAATAGAAAAGTTCAAAAACCATATATATAGGACATAGGAATACAGTTATATTTAACACCATGGGTAGCGAAGTGTTGTTTTCATTTACTTTTTTTTCTCATAAAAAATGCAACAAAAAAACATCAGAGGAGAGAGAAAAATGATGTGGTTGACGGTTTGGCAGTTAGTACAAATAGACATGTGTTTTCCTAAATCATGTTATTTCATACTTAATTTTTAAACAATGAAAATATATTATATTAATTAAAATAAATTAAACATTTATTATTAGAGGAGGAATTCATTGACTGTAAGATTTTTAAACTTATTCCATATCTTAGCCATCAATTCTAGGAAAATCCAATGGTTTGAATTAGTAGCTAGATCTAAACCATTGAATTTCCCTAGAATTGATGGCTAAAATGTGAAGTAAGTTTAAAAAACTTAGTCTTAGAATAAGTGGATCCTCACCCGTTTTGCTTGATTATTATTAATACCAGACAACTTATCAAACATCTGACAGAACATTTCTTAGTTGGTCGTAGTTACAAGGCAAGTAAAATGTAGTTCACTGTTTTGTTACTTGATTAATATTAATTCTTTTAATCAGAATAAAATGTGTGGATGAAAATGAGAAATAGAAATGTGCCAAATTAGTTAATACTTAATTATAGATAATCTAATGATATTGCTAATGAATGATGGTGGTGGATGAGCCAACTGTTGAGTGGTGAGAATCATAATCAACTCGCCCTTCCAATTTGGATAACGATTATCTGTCTCATAATTTTTTTAATCATATATCTCTAATCAATCAAATTTCACAAAATAATATTAAAATAATAATTTTTGATTTTATTATTTTTATTTTTAGTTGAATGAAGTTTTCCGATTGAATTGATACACAAAGTGAGACATGAATAGAGACATATTCCAATATGACATTTCCATAACCAATTTTTGTTACTTATGATACCTGTACTTTTCGTTTCCCCTAAAACAATTTCGTTCATCATCCGACCAATATAACATGAAAACATTGTATGTTGAAGAGAGTTGAATGATCAAGGAGTTGGTAATTATGAGAATGTAGCTTTGTTAAATACAATTTTATTGTATATAATGATCCCACCTGACTGAAATTTTATTAAATTGTATTCAATATAAGATGTATATATTTGTGAATACCATTTTTTTTTCAAGCCCATAAAAGAGGCCCAACATTATTTATATTCAACTTTTTTTACTTGATTTAAGTTATAGATATTATTTATTTAAATATTCCGAAATAACATAAAAAATAAGAAATATATATTTTAAACAAAAAAAAGAGACCAGTTGTGGAATGCAGTTCCACATTTTGGGGGAGAGTGGGCTGTCCCTCACTCCACCTGCTGCATGATAGAGGGGTTTCCCTGACTTTGAGGAAAATGCAGTTTCTCATATGCCTTTAAAAATGAAACACACGGCAAAAGCAAAGGGGGATTCATCACTAAAATACATAATAAATTCTTATTCCCATCACTGTTGGCATTGATATATGATATTCCCATAGCTAAAATCCCTTCACCACTCCATACACTTATATTTATCCCTTTCATGTTAATATCACAACAATATTAAAGAGTAATACCCAGAATGCACAAAAAGAACATACACACTGAAATACAGAAGATACAGCAGAGAAGGAATACACAGAAGGGAGAGGAACACACTAGGTGCAATTTCCAGTAAGAGAATATAAGAGGCACATTCACTTATACATCCAGCAAAGGCATAAGGTTAGTATACAATGTCATAATCTTTAGCATCCTATGCTATTTACATCATTAGGAACTCTTGTAATTGCCATACATACAGCAACTAATTAAATTCATGTTATCACAATTTATGCTATTCCCTATTGGATAATCTAAACTACATATAAAACAAATTGGTAGAAACAATATCATAATCATTTGATTACATGAACTTTTATGCCATGTCTTCATTGTAGCCTTCAAGTCCATTGCTTTTTGCATATTCATTGTATAAACAAACAACAACAAAAATACATATACATATGATATTCATTCTATTCACTGCATAAACAACAAAATAAAAAGAATAGTACATATGACATTCATTTTATTCACTGCTACAACAAAAAAATAATATATATCACAGTCATCTTCATTGTTGAGTTTTTACATAACATATTAATGAAACGACATTAACATCATTTCAAGTAAAATCCATCATAATAATAAGCAAACAGAATTAGTTGGTTTAATCACCGCCTTATAAATAACTACAAACAAATCAAATGCACAAAATTTTTTCAGTAAGTGATTTACTTAGAATTTAGGAGATGATGAATGATGAACCGAAGGGTTTTGAACCCATATACTGCTGAATCTGCATCACCTGCGACTTTGAGGCCTCAAGCCACCACCGTGGCTCCCTTGGCTGCGTCCCACCGTGCCCAACGGTTGTCGTCGGCATCGCAACAGTGATTAGGGTGTCCTTCCCGTGTAACTTCCTAGTCGGCGACCCTCCTCACTCCATACCGAGACCGATGGCGGTTTGAGAGAAGAAGCTCTCTTCTCTCTATCTCCCCCATATGTCTAAACCTAACAAATGAAATCTCTAAACCTAAACCCCTTTCCTATTCATCTTAGATGGGTTACTTTAGTTATTTTGGGCCCTTAGGCCTGTTACCATTTTTTAATTGTTATCCATGTCATTTATATTTGTCTCTTAATCTTTGATATAAAAAGTATATAGTTTAATAATTTTGCTATTAAAGCACATAGAAATGGTTAGGTAGTGGCATATTTGTGAAACCCTAGATTTTAAAATCATTAAAATTATAGTATCAGTCCTGGGAGTCTCGCTTGAGCGAGAAAGTGTCGCCTGGGCGAGAGAGGCTCATCTGGGAGGGTGAAATCCTGGCTATACTGAAAGATTCTCGCTTGAGCGAGAATTGTCTCGCTTGAGCGAGAGTGGTCTCGCTTTAGCGATAGTTGTCTCGCCTGGGCGAGAAATGACATTTTGGATCCTGTCGAGGCTGTGAGATTCTCGCTTGAGCGAGAATCCATCGCTTGAGCGAGAGGGTCAGATCTGAGTTTTTAAAATGGACGAGATTTTCTCGCTTGAGCGAGAACCCGACGCTGTTGCATTTATTAGGGACCCCAAACACATTTTTGGGGGATAACCTAGAGAGAAGTGAAGGAAGAGAGACTTTTCAAGAGCAAGGAGTCTGTGAATCATCTAAGAGCTTGAGAAGAGGTAAAACTCTTGATTGTAACTCTCTTCTTCCATTTGAAACTTGTTTTTGGGTTTGGTGGATCTCTTCTCAAAATGTGAGAAACCATGGAAACTCATCCTTTTGAATTATAGTTCGTTTTATGTTTTTTTTTCTCTTGTAAACTCTTGGTTTAGAGTTGATATTTCAAGAATGGAAAGTGTTTGTGGGTTGATTCATGAAAACCCCAAAACCCTAAAATGAAAATGTGATTAAAGGGGGAAATGGGTAAAATGTTAGATGTAGAAGATGAGTACACACTTCAATGTTGAAATATGAGATGAATATGTATGTTTTAGGTGTTTGTAAACTTATAATGAAAGTAGTTTAGAAACATTGAAAATGTGTTAAATCTCTTGTATGGTTAAAGATGCAATATGAGTTGTTTATGTGTTATTTGGAATAAATGACTAACAATGTGTTACATGGTGGGAATGAGGAAAGATCCTAAAGTTGGAGGCGGTGTCGGTGGAACTTGTGAAGTTACCATGAACCAAACCCAACACTCACCGAGGTAAGGATAAGTCTTTAATTTGTACATTGCAATAGAAAATGTGTGGATTTTCTAGTTGTGGATAATGATCAAGTTGTGAACCCCTTATTTATTATAAACATATATGGGTATGTTTGTAATAAGGATTGCGTGGATTTACTGTATATGAATTGATGATGTATCAATGAAAAGAAAACTCGTTTTAGCCGACCATGATTGGTTAGCGACTTTGGCTCAAGTGATGTAGCAAACTTTGGCTCAATTAATGTAGCAAGCTTTGGCTAAAGCGATGTAACAAGCTTTGGCTAAAGCGATGTAGCAAGCTTTGGCTAAAGCGATGTAGCAAGTTTTGGCTCAAGCGATGTAGCAAGCTTTGGCTGAAGCGATGTAGCACGCTTTGGCTCAAGCGATGTAGCACGCTTTGGCTCAAGCGATGTAGCATGATTTACAAAGAGTATAAAAGATGAAATGATTTTAAGTGTATTTAACTCTAAATTGTTTACTTAACCGTATTAAAATGTGGATTAATGTATATTGGCATTTATTGAGTTAACGACTTACTCCTTTTGTGTTTTCTGTGAATTGTCAATGTTAATCTCATTGCAGGTAGGTGGAAGACTTAAGGATGTCTCGATTAGGAGCTTAGAGGCTTTTAGTTTTTGAAGTCTTTATCTTCATTGTTTTGTACTCTAACTGATGGTGTTTTTGAACTGAATATTTGTAATCATGTACACTATATTTGTACATGTTGGTAGTTATGAATATTTGTAACTCTGGATATTTGTAGGTATGAGTATTTTAGAATCCCATAGCTAGTTGTATGCGGTAGTTACCGGGATGCATTAATGAATTATGATTTTCTGTTAAACGATTATGTATGTCATTTTTGACTCAGGAAGAGAATATGAATAGGAAAATGGGATTTAAAACCAAGGTTGTCGAATTTGTATTTAAAAAGTTATGGGGAAATGTATGAAAAAGGAATAAAATAAGGAAAAAATTTTAAGGGTAGATTTTGGGTCCTTACAATATTTATGTATTGGTAAAAGCCAAATCATTTTTATAATTCAATGATTAAAACTAAATCACTCAAACCATTTTAAGAATTTAATAATAATGTTACAATCCAATCATATCTTACTTCGAGCCGAGAATCGGTCGCGGTCACTTGTATTGCTTCTGCTATTTATCGAAGTAAGGAGATAATTGATAATCATGTCAACTTTTCAGTCTTTTTAAAATGTTTAAGTTATTTTAAAAATAAGAATGTTTTTGGGATTCAATAGCGAGGTTACAACTCATATTGCATCTTTCTTCTCACTTCGAGCCGAGAACCGGTCGCGGTCACTTGTACTGCTTCTGCTATTTATCGAAGTGAGAAGAGGGTAAGCAATCAATGTTGACTCGTCGTCTATTAGTCACACTTCAATTAAACTCAAACCAATTTTTAATAACTTTTAATCAAACCAACAAACAAACGATTTTCTAAAGAACTACATAGTCTTGATTTCCCTATTGCACCTAGGGATACGTAGGAGCAAGATAAACTCTTGTCAGACACAAAAATAAAAAATAAATATTTTGTTTTAATCAATTTAATTTTAATAAAGTAAGGGTAAGTTAAAAGCATGCAATTAGTTAGGGTACCGTTTAATAACGGGCGGATGGGGTGCTGATACCTTCCCCGATCCGTAATCGACTCCCGAACTCATAACTCTAACATAAAGACCAATTATATCAAATTCGGACTCAATTTGAGTTTTCCACGTTTTAACCGCAAAAGACGTGGTGACGACTCCTCAAGAGGTCGCGTGGCCGAAAATCCGGGCTCGATAGTTGGCGACTCCACTGGGGAATTTTTTAGAGAGTCATGCCCAATAACATTTTTCTTGCATGCATTTTTTTATATATACCTTTTTTTGTTTTTTCTATTTCTTGCACTAGTACTTACATTATTATTATCTGTTTACTTATTGTTTTTAATTTAATTGATTATTTTGGGCATTCTCACTTGTTTGTTCTGCAGCTTTTGGGGTGGATTTATTTTTGAGTCACGTGCTTCCACACACACCCACTTTGTACACTTGAGTCACACACGTATGCCCTAGACCTCTGGTGTTAGAGATTAGGTGCCAAATAGGGGGATATCTGCCTTGTCGGTAAGTGGCCTTGTGTCACATATGATATTGGCAAGATAAACCAATTAGATTATTCCCATATGTCATAAGTTAACCGCTTGAGGAGCTAGTCTCTTATCGTAACTAACCTATGATATATGGTTTCCTTTCTTTTAAAGATGGGAAACAATGTGATGACCTTTAGAAGTCAAACAAAAAAAAAACTTTTTTCTAGTCCACTTTAAATAGACCTAATACCTCGCCTTAGTGTTGTGACCATTAGAATATCGAAAACCCTATAGGTGTACCTTGTTTTTAGGACACGGGAAGCAAAACATAATCCACTTTTCATTTGCATTCATGCACATCATAATATCAACCCAAATTAATTTCAAAAATTACTTTATGCTTGAACGGAATAAGGGTATCAAGACCCTACATTGTAAAGATAGCAAACTTGTGATAGATATACCCATCGATGTGCCTCAAAGCCCTAGGGACAATTTTTATTCATCATGTACCTATCGATGCGCCTCAAAGCCCTAAGGACAATTTTTATTCATCATGTACCCATCGATGGGCCTCAAGGCCTTAGGGACAATTTTTTTATTTATCACGTACCCATCGATGGCCCCCAATGCCCTAGGGACGATTTTCTCACATCAACAAATATGGAGTTATTCTCTTTAACTCAATACCTTAATCATCATGGCCACCAAAAGGGTACAAAACCAAGAGGGTGAAATCTCATTTTTACCCTAACAGGCTGTATCGCTTAGCTTGCTTGCATCATGATCATTCACACCATTCATTCATACATACATTCATTCAAATATAAAAAACACATTTTTGAATATTAAAAAAAAAATACATCATTCATCCATTCATATAATTAGCCAAAAATCAAAAATACCATTCATGCATTCATACATACATTTAGAATGTCCAAAAAAGGACAAATAAAAATTTCATCAATCAAACATTCATTCACTTATGCATATATTCATATACCTATTCAAAAAAAATTTAAAACAAAAGTAGGTCATTCAAACATCACATCACATTACCATAAATTATTTAAAAGACAAAAATAAATCAATTCATGCATTCAAGAAACGAAAACAAAATATATTCAAATTTTCCATGCACCATAGAAAAGCATCTCATTCCCCATCGATATCATTCATCCATAAATAAAACATTCAGTGATCAAATTCCTTTTCTGAAAGAGATATGTAAAAGACACATACATCAGTTCTTAGCATTATAGCAATATCTTGCTATCCAATGTAACTCAAATGAGTAAAATAACATATTGCATTTAATAGATGCAATTTTTGTCTAAGACCTTGTGTTTCCTCTGAAATTGTCATCAACTACAGTCGGCCTTGTGGGGCACGCCCTAAGATACCGATTGGAGGGCAAAATGTTTATTGGGCAATGCTAGGAAACGATCTAGATGCAATTTTGGTCTGAGACCTTGTGTCTCCTCTAAAATTGTCATCAACACAAAAGAAGCTATTGGGGTACGCTCCATAGTAATCAAATGCGGGATGTTATTTCTTACTATACCAACATCTCTTAATGGAAGAAATCACTTTTATCTAAAATTCACATTTCATACATCACCCCATCATAAAAATTGCATACATCATACATTATCCAAAAAAATAAGTCTACTCATAAAATAAAAAAACATTCTTACATTATTCATGCACCATCATTCCATTCACTCATACACTTCATATCCAAACATATAACATGCATTTCATGATCCAATGTTAAAGGCGCTCATGGGTTAAAAAAATTCTTTGAAAGGTGATATTATTGGACCCGACTAAAGTGAACCAGAAAGACGAAATAATTCGGTTGCCCAAGTTGATTTACCATCCTCAGAAGTTGATTTGTGCTTTTCACTTCATATGGAGAGCCCAACTGATCAAGACAAATCCAACCACTTCACCACTCCTCAAGATCGAGAGGGAATTACGGTCATAGAGATAAGAATCAGAGCCATTGAAGAAGCCAACTCATATGGTTTGAAGGACATCAATGATATGTGCTTAGTCTCAGATTTGGTTGTGCCACCAAGTTTCAAAGTACCAGACTTTGACAAGTATCAAGGTACATCTTGCCCTAAAGACCACCTGACTATGTATACTAGAAAGATGACTCCCTATATCAGAGATGAGAAATTGTTGATCCATTTCTTTCAAGAAAGCCTAACTGGATCTGCCACCACTTGGTACTTACGACTTGAACGTTCACAAATTCAGTGTTTCAAGGATTTATGTGTTTCCTTTGTCAAGCATTACGATCACAACATTGATATAGCTCCTGGTAGGACACAACTAAAAACTATGATCAAGAGAGAAGATGAAACTTTCAGTAAGTATGTCCAAAGATGGGTAGAAGTGGCCGCTTAGGTGAAACCCAAGCTATCTAATGAAGATAGTGTTTCGATGTTCATAGACACTCTCCAGCCACCATTCTATGGTATGATGTTGGGATGTGTATCTCAGGGATTTCGTCAATTGATGACCAATGGGGAAAAAATAGAAAGTCACATGAGAAGTGACAAAGGCCTGAAGGATCCAACTCAACACATAACCCGAGATTACGCTAGAGGTGAAAGAATAGAAGGTGAAACATCATTCATTGAAACCTTAGACCAACGTCAATCGTATCATCATCCCCAACAACATTATCCTACTACTCACCATCAAGAAGGAACATCTCGAAAGCGGAAGAGAAAAAGTCATTATGATGCAATCCCCATGTCTTACTCTGAGTTGTTGCCACAACTTGTTCATAGGGGTTTGTTAACTATCCTTCCCTTTAAGGAGGTGGTGCCTCCATATCCAAATGGTTTCAACTCGAATGGTTGTTGTAAGTATCATGGAGGGACATCAGGACATCCGATAGAGGATTGCAATCAATTAAAAGGCAAGGTGCGAGACCTGATTCGT